CATCGAGAACAACGACAACAGTCTGATTATCATCATAAACCTTTCACAGTTTCTCAGCCTTTGAACCAAATAACTGCAGTTCATTGACTTGCATGTGACCCTTTGTCTTCGAAAATGTTCTCCATTTAGTTTCGTGTTGTTTTCTCAAGTTTATAAAGTACCTTAATTGGTTGATTATCATTCGCGAATCTGTGAGAGGACACCCGGACTATCCAGGAAGACTCACATCGAAACAAAGTCAACGATTCCGTCATTTGCAAAGCGTCGCTTCGCCTTTGATCAACGAAATTAAGCCGAATGCAAATTAAGCGTATGCAAGAGTGTTTTAGTTTTCTTTACATATTTTTCTTTTTTTTGTCAGTCGACCCTTTGAACCATCAATTTGGTTTAGATTCGTTTCCACTCTCGTGCTTTTTACCGGCGTTGCTCTTAACGTTCGGCGGTCCGTAATTTTAATTTTGAAGCGGTTTTAATTTCGAATACTTCCGAACGAGCAAAGCCAACAGAAGGGTTATTGCATAGCAGATTAATCAACGCAAAATATTTGTCACGACGATGAAATGGTCTTTTGTTCGTTAACCGGTAGCCATGGTAACATCCACGTTGCAAGGGAATTTCCGCTCGAAATAAAATATGCTCTTTGTGTAATTATTATATTGTATTTACCGGATTCGAGCAAACTTTCGTTGCGTTTTTTCCTTCGATTTACAGTTTTCCGTAAAAGCGACGCGGTCGTTTTTGCCGGAATATTTCGCGGAAAAAGAGGTAATCCAACCGCGCCGTATCGAAACTCGGCGCTCGATGCGACATTTGTAAAACGCACCGTGACAATTGGTAATCGTGCATTCTTTCGTTCGACTCGCTGTCGCGTTTAATTATCGACCGTGGTGAGTTTTATCGACGAATACACACCGACGAGGCGGGCAAATACGCTCTTCCGATCAAAGTAATCCGTCTAAACGGCTATATTGGAGCCGCGTTTGCAGTCCCGCAAACGCACAAGAGTAGTAATCGTTTCGCGTACATGCGTTCCCGAATTCGGAATATTCGAATTAATATCTGCTTCTTTCGTCTGTCGTTTCGTCGACCAAATTGATTTACTCGTGGACGTGAAATTAACCGTTGGAACCTGACGTCGAGCGACCGCGTCAAGACGCAATCACGTCGTAATCTCGGCGATCGCAATTTGCAAAAATATTATGTAGTACGTAATAAGTACAAACATCGCAAGCACGGCCGATTGCGTGCGCCCGACGATGGGAAACGTGAGATATCGTGACCGGTGTTTTTCGTGCGGGGGTTCTGGAGTACAGGAGATCACGTGACATGTCGCGACAAATCGTACGGTGTCAATGTGACAAATTTGTACGGAATCGTTCGCCGTGACACGCGCGTGAAAACTGTTCGATACGAACGTTTCGCGTGTACGCGTTGTATTTTTATTTTGTTTTAACTTTTCCCTCGACGGTGCAGTTTACATTAGCGGGGCACGGTTTCGTTGAACTTTTGCACCGGCGCAACCGTTAGCAGATCGAAATTCGTAACAGTTAATATTATTCTATGCCGTCGGGGAAATTTGAGGGTAGAATTATGGCCAACGGATTAAATTTTACTCCGGTTTCCAGGACGTTCCGACTCCGTGCGTCATAAATTTCGTGCCCGTTCGCTAGGGACAATCGTTAGGGAGTTAATGGGTACGGCAGATCAAATTTCGAGACGGATAACGGTCGCGTGGGGGAGAAGAAAACCCTGGGAAAGTTAACAGCGCGGGGGGAGGGAACGCGAGCGCGACAACGGCGAAACAATTAAACGCGAATACGCGAAATACTTGAATGGAAACGCTACTCTTTTGTCCCGTTTGTCTGTACGCCTAATGGAAACGAATGATGAAGTCAATTCAACGTGATCGACGAACGGACAATAGACGTCATTTTTTATTGTTCATTCGATTGCGTAGGGATTGTTTCTGTTTCGCATTGTTGGACGGCTATCGATACGATCGCGTGTGATCTTCGTCGCGTTACAAATTTCTTTCAAAATTATTGCTGCACCCTGCAGGATCGAAATGACTGGCGTTCCTCGTAGACAGCTGTTATCGATTTAATAAAGTCGTAATAGAAGCTTTTGTTCGACCCGCGGCACAGGGGAGTACATAAAGTAATTCTAAGTAATTTCGTATAAGAATTCTCAAACAATTCTCGCGTGTCTTATCAGTGGCAAATTATATTCCGTCGTTTCTAATACTAAGCACACCGGTTTTTGTTATTTTTGTCGTGAGCGTGTTTTCTCCGCGACGAATCTTGACAGCCTTTTCATACGTTATTCAACGGAAATTATAATCCGCAACAAGTTTCCCGGTGCGGCGGTTTGCACCTCTGCAACATTGTTCAACGATCGCGTGCTTCTACACGCTTAACCGCCAAAGGAAAACAGCGATGTTTCCTTCTAGCGGCGCAATTCATAAAGGGCGTTAATTACCCCGTGGCCACGGAATTATTTAGACATTACACAGGCCCCGGGTAGACAGTGTCCGTTGTGTAAGCTCATCATCTCATCACCGTATCCCGTCGTGGTAATTGTTTCGCATTTACGTAGTTAGCCACACTCTTGCCCGAAATAATGCGAGCAATTAACCGAGCCGTAATTAACGTCTTCATAACGGAAGATTCTTTCGTCTCGAAAGTAACTCGTTTGCGTTAAACACGCGGCCCGTAAAAATGCGCGGACAACCGTTCGTCTAATTCGGTCGAATCGTATTTTGTTCGAGTAAATTGCGCGACTCTACGAGTGATATCAAAATGGTAATCTAGCTATGTCGATCTAATAAAAAAATCGAAAGACCAAGCGTCAAACTGTTAATCTTCCGGCAACGCGATGAAAACCTCTCGGTCGAGCGAGAGGCGAGATCGTGGATGCAATTAGCGGTCGCGAAATAGGATTCTAATTCCATTACTCGTCGGATCTCCTCCACGGGCGTTGCTTGCGCGATAACTGGATCCCGTAAAGATAACGCGAGCCTGGCACGCCGGGGTCTGTGTACCGGTGGAAAATTGGTTTTCAAGAAGGAGTAATCTCGAGCTCCAAAGAAGTCCAATGTCCCCGCAGAGGAGTACCTAATGAAGTGTACGTGAGAAACAAGTCATCGCTTGGTAAGAAGACCCGCGGGAGGGCCCGAACAACAACACCGAGGAACACCCTGTGGCGAGAATCTCTCCGCGGCCAAGTCGTCCGGAAGGAGTTTCGAAAAGTTTTCGCCCGCCCAGACCTCCAATCTGTAGCCAGCTTTTCGCACGTGTTACACGCGTAACGACTTTCGTATTTGAACATTTTCCAACAGCGAATCGTCCAGGAACTCCGACCAAGTTTATCTATTTGCTAAACGCGGCTGGATGCTCTTCTGCCTGCGTTGATTAAGGCTGGATTCTCGTGCAAAACTAATACCTGCAAAATTGCTTTTTTAAATTTGAAACATTTTTAGTCACTGTGATTTAAAGTTTTTGACCGTAAACTGTTCGTCGGACCGATTAAGAAACGTCTATTTTGGCGATGTTTGTCGGAGCGATTCGTTGGTGCAAACGATTCGGGGGCAACGCGTTAACGAACCTCTAATTACCAGTCGTGGCCAGGCGTGGAAATTGTCTCGAATCACGTCGGGCGTAATTTTCGGCGTAATTAGCCCGGCGACCGGCCGCGGAGCTGGTTTCTTGTCCGACCACGCGTCAATCTCTCTCGATCGGTCTTGCTGCCGCGTTTACATTTACGCCGTGGACAAAGACGAAAGCCGCCCACGATATTCAGCATTCGTTACGGCCCACGGTGTCTTTGTTCGGGCACAGAGCGCGCGTCCCTGTTCACGGGTAACTTCCGGTTTGCAAAGTTTAGCTACGTGCGCGCAATAAAACCGAGCGACCGAACAAAAAGCGCGAACGCGCCACCGTCAAGGGGGCGTAGCAATGAAAGCAGTTCCAGGACACGCGCCCGTTGTTGCGCCCCGTTTCGAGAACAAACCCCCACATAAGCGTGATAAATGCGCCACTCCACGATTGGATGATTACCACTCTGTACGCAGGAGTTTGCAATAATTAACCCGCCACACGCGATTCGACCGCCAAGCCTTCCCTCCTACATTATGCTTTTCTTTCCCTTCTTTCTCCATCCTTCGCTGGGCAGTTCTGGCGACCCGACAAGTAGAAAATCGGAGAAGGATATCGTGACAGATATTTATTAACTTGGGATTACAACGTCACCGCAGTTTCGCGAGTAAGGGATTTGTACGAGCAATTGAAATTTTTTTTAGATAAATTTCCATTGAAATTTTCCTTTCGTATCCGCTGGATTAATTAATAAATTAATCGAGCCCCAAGTACCGGTATCAGGCGTCCGTTGCACAGGATACAAGATCAAGAAAAAGTTCAAGAAAGTTTGACCTACTGTTTTTATTATATCAACTGGAGAACTACGTGAATTCGTTGGAAACTTTAAAACCAATGGTTCGCGAACTTGAAATACTGGAACGTAAATACTTGGGCCAAACATGAATTATTTTTAGTTAGAGAATTATCAATGGAACGTAAACACATTCATCGAGTTCAAAGCCATTGTGTTGGAAAATTGATTTCGTAGCATCGAAGATTCTTAATTTAGAATTTTGACCCACTTTTTTCAAGTACAATCACCGCGGACCAGATTGCCCAACGATTGTCAACGTAGAAATAATAATCTATAACGAGATCCTAGAAATGGAAACTTAATTAAATGCGCGCGTCTACTGCAGTCTGGAAAATCGATTTCCTCGAAATTGAATCCACGTATACGAACTGTAAAGAAAACTTCAGAAAACAGATGTAGTGGACCGCGTTTGGATAATGAAACGTTCTAATAGTAATGGAGATTGTAGACATCTTTATGCACAGTAATTACCTAATAGAATGTCTTGCGATCGCAAAACTTGAGATATTTTTTGTTCCAGAAATTAATGTCATTGTTCTTTCTGCTTTCAGGTTCCAAGGGAAATAAAACGCCACGTTCTGAAGGTAAGAGAAGAGATTATTAATGAACCCGTGTCTCCGTTGACGTACTTCCGTAGACTAATGACACTGTTCTTGAAAGAAAGGTGCTTTGACTCGATTCAGAGATAAGATTGAGTCGTTTCTGGTGTTCAAACACCGGGGATCGTTCGCGAGTTGACCCCGTCCGGAGTTCGTTCTCTGTAATAATGCCTCGCTCGCGTTTCCCGTCAAATTTTCCACGCCCTTCGACTGTCGCGCGTAAAGCAACCATTACAACGAGGAAATCAAGCGTAACCAGTAATTGTTACTCTGGAAGAAATTAATTTTTCGCTGCCCGTTGGACGGCTACGCTAATTATTCACGGTCGAAAGCGCGCGAAATTAAGGATTTCGGTGTGCGAGTCGCGGTAATTCCGCCGGTGCGCCTTCTCACGACAAATTAAAAATAAAAATCGTACCAAGCTTCTCGCTTGGCTCTTTAGTCGCGGCGAAAATGCACGTCAACCGTTGGTTTCGTTTAAATTTATTATTAATTTTCGCGGAACGGAGTCGCGAGCCAAATAACGAACCTCGCTCTCTTGTTATTTTTTCAAAGTTTTTCCATTACCGCGCGGCCGGAATTTTGCTTTTGTTTCGGAAACAAAAGCTCAACTTTGAAAAACTAAAGATGAAATTTAAGTTCAAGATTCCCTCCTAATGACTTCTATTTTTCCATCGATCTTTTCATTGCATTCTTATTCGAAACATTCTACCGTTTCTGTAAATAGATTACGCTGGTTTCGTACAACAATTCCACGATTTTGTATTTTGAACGATGTCTATAAATCCATTGCTTTGACGCGTCGATTCGATATTTTTCCAACCAGAAGCTCGACTCAGGCGACAGTAATACGATAATGGTCGTTCACCAGAGCGGACTGTTTAATATATTGAGTGCTGCGTCGTTCGTACGTGTCATCATTGTTTCTTAATGGGTCGCGATATTTATAATGGAACGACAGGTGTTACGGAACGCAAATTGCAATAAAAATCGTTGTCGAAACGATAGATCAAAGTACATTGCGAATGATTAAAAATTAGAAGCTCGAGGTAGGTTTCGCGTACAATTCTCCACGGAAATATTCAACGAATTGCTGAAAGATAAACGCAGTCGTCGCGTAAACTGTTATTTTCGTAGTTACAATGAAGATGCGGGCGAACGCTACATAACCACACGTCGCTGACGTACGTCTCGCGCAAAAATCCGTCAAAATATTGTGTACCTTGTGCTCGCTAATTGCCTCGTTTGTATCTTGTCCCTGCGGAGTCGGGCCACTCGGCACGTAAAGGAGGAAATTTCGAATAAAGCCGTCTGTCTAGCTCGCAAGAGAAATAAGCCACTTGAGCTTCAATCCGTTCCGGTTTACAAGAACTGCGATGTTTCCGCTCCCTTTATTAAATCGCCTTTCCCAGGCGCGGAAAGAGCACCCGAAGAGGCGGGCAAACTGGGCTATCGCGTCCTGTTTCGTGAATTCGGCCGAAGAACTCTGGAACGTCGGCAAAAACGAGACACGTACAACTATTCGAAATTCTATGTATACAAAATTCAACATCAGACGATGCATGTTCGATTAAAAACATTATTTACTCTTTACAGTCGTCGTATCGAACGAATCGAGCGGGTCTTTTATCAAAGTTAGTTTCTCTATCCCGGGGAGTCTTGTTTCGTGAATTCGTGCAATGGACGCCGGAGGGTTGGAAAACAGAGAGGTGGCTCCTCGTTCAGCTTCTCTCTGCATCGACGAAGATACGCCTGAAACGTCGCTTCTCAGCGTTGGCGTACAACACGCCCGAGCCTTGAAGTTTTAATGAATCGAAAGAAAAAGTTCTCGCAGGCCTTGGAGAGGTTAATTTCATCCCGTTGAAGCCCCCGGAAGGGGGGCAAGAACAGCGATGTAACGTCTTGAAGCATTTAATCGCGGCGCTATTTGGCCCGTTTCTTCTTTTTATTTGGATTACTTTGAAGCGAGTAATCTTCTTAAGCGATCTCCTCTCGCGCCTCGCCAGAAGTAGCTGATTTATTTTCCAAATCTACCACGTTCTCGAGACGAACGCCCCTCGTGTTTGGCATCCAGAAATTGGACAATGATTGAAATATTTCGAAAATTGGAGAATACACAGATGTTCCACCGTACCGTTAAATCATACAGGGTGTTCCGCCACCCCTGGGAAAAAATTTTAATGTGAGATTCTAGAGACCAAAATAAGACGAAAATCAAGCTTAAAAAGTTATTAAAAAATTAAATTAAAATTTTCAAATCATTTACAGAAAAATTATTTTCGGTTGCGGGGGTCAATTATAACCACTTTTGGTGAATAGACATACCCCCGAAATCCTACGTGCTTTCGAGAAAAAAATTCTTTACCGAAAGTATACTGTGTGGCCGGAAATGTTTCTATAACCTTTTAATGAAGCCTCAATCAACAAATTAGTATCCTTGATTTTCGTCTTATTTTTCTCAGGGATGGCCGAACACCCTGTATATTGTGCAATAAAAGCGTCGACAGGTAGCAACAAAGATACTCGGTCGTTGAGAATATTAAACTTGCGGATTAAAAGCAACGTGGATCGTCGTTTTGTTCGACCGGGAGTCGTCCAGGGAACGAGGAATCGCAATTTAAATCTCGGTCGAGCAATAATCCGATCGTTCGATAAACTTTCTGCGTAGTGTTAACAAATGGGATGGTGGGAATCGAGGGAAAAACGGGTCAGGAATAAAATCGCGCACCATGACAAACGACAGCGTGAAGTTTCCGCGAATTCTTGCGCACCAGGAAACTTTGTCTCCCTTCGTCCGCGGATTAATACTTTCGCGAACTTTCCGAATGGAGGAGTCTCGTTTCGCCAGTCGCGATCAGCCGACTTCACGGCTCGCAACGTTTATGGAAATGAATTTCAGCGGGCCCGAACGCGACGCGTATTCACCGCTGCGAGCGTAGCCGGAAGTTGCCTCACCAAACGGAACAAGGGTCACCAGGCGAGACGATGGTCGAATAAACTAGTTAGTATATTAACTCCAGTCGAAAAATTTCATCCTATGTTTACAGATAATTTCTTTCCCCTCTCGGTTCGTTCAAAGCTGTTCATTTTTGCGGCGAAAGACGAAACGTGCTTCTTTCGGTGGTTAATCGCACAAATGTACTTCTTTTCAGCGGAGAATAACGAGACTATTTCCGGTAACGTTGTAACGGGAAATTTGGATCGAGACGCAAAAACCGAAGGGGGCTGTCTCGGCTTTTGACCGACAGCGATACTTCCCTTTTATTATATTCGATAACTGTCTGTAAAGTAAAAATCGCGAAAAGTTCCCGGCGGATTCTTGTCGGGGAAACTTTGTCCGCGTTCGTTCGCGGATTAATACTCCCGCGAAGTTTCTGAATGGAGGAGCCCTCCGCCCTCCGGGTTTCGTCGCGATCAGGTGACTCGCGGCGGCTCGTAACGTTTATGGAAATGAATTTCGACCGGGCTCGAACGCGCCGCGTATTTCGTCGTTGTGTGCGGCAGCCGGAGCGGAAGTTGCGCGACGCGGTTCGCGAATTTCTGGTAATCCTCGAAGTAGGGAACCGTGTACGTACAAAAGCCATCCAGGGCTGGCTGGCGTGCACGCGTTCGTGATTTATGAAACGCGCTGTAATTGACTTGCATTACGATGCAAATCGCCCCGGTCACGACACGATGCAAAATGCCCGTCTCCGATTCCGACGAAAACTTCGGTACCGGTTCTTTCCAGCGTTTTTTTTTCCTTTATTCCTCTTTTTCGCCCGCTCTCTGTCTCGGTCGAGCACAATTAGTCACAGGTTTCGCGCTCGAGAGGTTACTTGTGTGCATCGTGCAGAGTCGCGTTGTCAATAAGGCTCGAGCCGTTGTCGCGTGCTACGCGCTTGTATTTTTACTCGTCGGGAATATTTTTAACCGTTATGCATGGACGGGAGCACGAGTGTTCGGGTTGTCATTTTTAAGCCCGGCAGTTTCTCGAGCGTCCCGAAATACCGCGACAGCGTGTCACCGACGAAGCGTTCGCCTCTACGTCGGTGAGGTAACTTTTGTTTCGCTTGCATGACCCCGCGCCACTCGCGTGGGACGCGAATCGAGTGTTCCCGAACAGATTTATCGCGTTCTTGTCGAAATTATTTCGGAGTTCTCCAGCACTCGTTTCGCTTACTCCACGGTCGGTGTTATAGTAAGGTATTTTTAAACTGGGATATTAAATAAATTTTAATCCGGCAGGAGCGAATCGATGAAACCGTACCAAACTTCTGGCGAACAAGAAGGGAAACAAAATTTGTAATTTGTACTCGCGAGCTCGTAAGAAATTAACGTTAGACAGAAGTCTTGGCCAGCAATTAGGGGAAACGAAATTTATAACTTGCGCTGTCAGGAACTCGTGGTAAATTTTTGCAGGAAAAGGAAACTAACGTCAGGATGATAGAGGAAACGGTTTTTAGGTCAAACGTTATATTTATGTAACTTGCTATACCAAAGCTAAAATGTTCGATTGAAACGTTTATCGTTAAACTAAGTTCGTGCTATACATATTTATGGAAATTTTCGAAGACGATTAAACGGCACAATACTTCATCTTGAAGTGTATTCATGAGCACGCGATCCTGGGGGGGGATGTTTTCTCGTTCGTGTTCTGAAACGATCCGAGGAATCGGTTTAGCGACGTTTATCGCCATCCCCTATTGAAACCACTCTGGTTTTAAAAAATAACCGAGAATTCCACCCTTGAAAATACAAATAGTAATTGTAGACATTTTTAGATTTCGTTGTCGATTGATAAAAATATTTTTGATGAATGTGGGAAGGGGTTGAAGTTTCTCACCCCGTTCCTTCTCTGTTCCCATCGAGTTCGATGTCACCGGAAGCCGAACGATAAGAAAGCGCGATTCCACTGTCAAAGAGTTTATTTCTTCGAGTTGCACGGTGGATCTATTGCGCTTCCTTAATTGTATCGGCGGGGTCAGAGGGTGAACGGAAGCTAC